ACATCTTTTTTCTAAGTTTGGCCATCTCTTTGCCTTTGCAATTTAAGTTCTTCAAGTCATCAATCAATCCTTTTATTTATGTGATAGGCCTCAATTTAAAATGAACATTTACCTTAAATTAAAGGTATCTTATATTATTAGATACGTTATTATAAAACATGCTTTAGTTAAGGAGTTATTGATACTTCAAGTGCAAAATGATGATATAAAATCATGATAAAAATGCATTTTTAAGTACTAATCAACCATCCTTAGAGAAAGACTTTACAGGTACTAGAAGAGGATCTTGAACAGGTTGCACCATCAAGATGGAGGAGGAAAAGATCCATGGTGGAGAAGTGAAAGTTTGTCCCTTCTTAAAGACAATTTCAATAGTACCATCAGTCTTTTTGGTGAACTCAAGTTTAGTGGATTGTATAGGGAGAGAGTTTTGATGTAGCTTTTCATAATTGTTAATCCAAGTAGAGGGAAGTAACTTTTATACGTCCTCTTTCAGGATTTTTTGTTGGACATGTGTAGGTGGCTCTTTAATGGGAATCAACAATAATAAGTAAAGCATTATTGGTAACAGGGAGTATTGAATCAAAGGCATGATTTTGGACTCGATAGGCCATTTGATAATGGAGAGTGGCTTGATAGGTGTCTAAAACTTAATCAGCACCTATGATTTGTAATTGGATTTTCAAAAAATGATACAGTTGAGGATCATCTAAAGCCATATTAAAGTTGGGATAAAGAGTAACAACTACCGTGCCACAATTGAGCGTGGTTTCAAGAGAGCCAATGCATGCATGTTGATACTTTAGATATCTGGTATCTAGAAGAGCTAATTTTGCTACAACAGGTAATCTTTTATGACCATGATAAGACAAAGCTAGCTGGATAACACCAAAATGAATATGTGTAGCCTTGAGAAATCCATTGGCTTGAAAATTCAGGTGGAATTTCTAGAGTAAATTGTTCTCGAGAAGTAGTAAGAATTTTATGGTGGTCAAAAGAGGAAGCTTGAATATATTCTTTTGCCACACGAGAAGGTTGTTTGATGAGAGTTTTAATATCGCAAATAACAGAAGGAGACTTTTTGGCAAAAGCATGATAAGGATTGACTAGAAGGAGATCGATTTCAGAGATTTTTTGTGTATCATATAAGAGGCTAACTTCATAGAAATAGTCAAGTTTAGCAGATATAGACCGGCGCCAAAAGAAAAGGAAAAGGGGAAGGTGGAAGGAAAAAGAAGAAGTGAGAAGAAAAAAAAAAGATAAAGACAAAGAAAGAAAGGTCATGGTCACTCACAAACCAGAATGGCTCAGATACCATAATTATAAGACAAATACTTTAACAATAATTACAATTAAATCATTAAAAAATTAAATGTATTTTTTTTTTCTTTTTATTTTAAATTATTTGAAAAATACATTGCAAATGATTAAATATGTCAAAAATATATTTTTAAATTTTATTATTATTTTTTTAACTATTTATAATTAAAAAAATAGATAAAAATATATAACAACACGCATCATGTTGATACATTAAACAAGCAAGATGTTCAGGTGTATACGCAACCAATCACAAAGTTTGCCCATCCTCGACAACTTCGTCGAATGAATGATCGTTAACAATACAAACGAGTCAAATCAAATGTTAAGCCATAGTTCTTTTCTTTCTTTCCTTTCATGTTTCCTCACTGTATACATCAAATCAAGATAGTTCTTTCTATATATTAACACCTCACTTTCTAAATTTGAGTAAAATTTAACCTTTTTTTCTGAAAAAAAAAAGAAAAAGAAAAAGAAAATATTGCTCGATGCTTAGTTATCTTTCACTAATATTTTTCTGCTCTTTCTTTGGAGTTCACCACTAATTAAGACCTCAATACTTCATATAAATATATAAATAAAGATATTAAACTAGCTAGACCTTGAACTCTAGACTCCATTCTTCGCTTTTTCTTGGAAATAAAAACACGAACTTCACGTCTCACTTGTGTGATGGTAAAAAATTATTAGTACTGGTACACACTACAGAGAAGCGAAAGTGACGATGATGATGACCTTAACGTGACAAACAAAGCTCGTCACACTCATGTCCTCCCCACATGAATGACCCCAGCAGACAATCCCAACAGCTAGGAAGGCTCCTCTGCAATTTCCCCACGTCATAACAAAACCTTGAAGAGCAAAACACCAAACCCCGCAACCTCTACTCACTTTCCTCGCCAAAATTATTTTCCCTTTCCCCGCCCCTCCTCCCCGTAATTCCCACGCCCTTTATGGCTCTTCCCAAAAGTACTGAACCGCCACTTCCACTTTCACCAACTCATTGCTATACTCTAATACCATGTGATCAGCATGAAGAAGGAGGCGTTGTGCTACCTTTTTACCGCCACCCCACCACTCAGGACTGCCGTCGATGGCCATTGATAATCGCTATAATATTCCTCCTCCTCCTTTCAACGCTTGTCTATGTATTTTGGCCCTCCGATCCCACGGTCAAGGTTGTGAGGCTGCGCCTAAACAAGATACACATCCACACCTTGCCTATAATTAACATTGACATATCCTTGTATGTTACTTTGAAAGTACGCAACGTCGATGTGTATTCCATGTATTTTAGAAGTCTTGATGTTGCTGTAAAGTACAGAGGGAAGAGGCTGGGTCACGTGAGATCTGATCACGGTTACGTGAGGGCACTAGGATCATCCTACGTGGATGCTGAAGTAGATTTTAGTGGGATCAGTGTTTTGTCTGACGTGGTCTCCTTGCTCGACGACTTGGCCAGGGGTACGGTGCCGTTTGATACAGTCACCGAGGTTTCTGGCAGGCTTGGGTTGTTGTTCTTTGGGTTCCCTTTGAAGGTAATATTATCGGATTTTATTTTATTTTATTTTCTTGACATGTACTATAAGCGTTCCAATTTTGAAGCTTTTTATCGGTTAGAGAAACAAAATTATTGAAGGTGGTGTATGTCAGCTGTGATTATTAATTAAGATACTGTTTCGCATTATAATTATAGTAACTATAGTGATTTTTTTCAAAGTCTATTTTGCTTGGAAAGATATTATTTTTTTATTATTTAAAATTTATATTTTAACATCACGATATTAATATAATTTAAAAATATTAAAAAATTAATTTAAAATTTAAAATTTTTTAAAAATATAACTGGATCGTAAAAATAATCACCTAATCCATCAGATATAATTAAAAAAAATTATTTTTCAATTTATAATTTACCACGTATATTTATTTATTTATTTATTCAAGATTTTATCATGTCCGCAATACATTAATTTACAAGTAAGCCTTGCATAATCTCTTATGGTAAGCTTGAAGTCATAAAAGGATTTTTGAGATGCTAGGAGTCAAGGATTGTCTCGGATGGAAGAAGGGGAGATCTTTTTGCAAGAAATCATCCTTCAGGCGTACAGTCATGATGATTTTAGTTGCACATCGTTGAAGTAGTGAGTTTTCTCACTCCATGATTGACAGCAGGGTCCACTCTTGAATATATTCGATACCAGAATATTTATATAAATGGAGCTCAAGAACCTTGTACAACTGCTGCGATTACTCGCTAGCCAGGTTATATTGGGATTGACCACAAATCATAGAAAAATGCACCAAGTTTTGAAGCCTTCAATCAATATGCTAATCAATTTTCTGAATTGTTCTGGGCAACGTACGTTCTTACACTGAATTATATGTTAACAATTTGTCAGAACTGATTCTTTCTGCCCCATTTTTCCCTTTTTATATGCTCCAGTGCTTCTGTTATATGTATTATGTATTGCAAGTTGTGAGATCCATCTGCTGATGCAGTAACATATATGATCTAGTTTTATCGATTCCTTGTGTGTCTCATACCAATTTTGACGCTGTCTTGATACAGGCAAAATTGTTCTGTGCGGTTCTGGTAAATACAAATAACCAGACAATTGTCCGTCAGACTTGTTATCCTGAGGTCAGTAGGTATTGCTCTCTTTGTTACTTACTATTGTTATTGGCAATGGCGCCGTTGGGGGTGGCCATTGCTGATCTTATTATTTATTCTTCAATGCAATTTTGCTGTAAACGAATGCAATATAATACCTTAACATCGCACAATCTAAAATCATGGGATTGCTGCAATCCCTTGATTTCTTTCCGGTGGCCTTCCCGTACGAGTTAATTACAGTGCAGTTCTGGAGTGGTGGTTGACCTGTTGATTGCACGATGCCCGGAGTCGACTCTTTTTTCTTTTGAAAATATGATAGTGATATGTGATTAAACAGCCTGCTTACGGGGGATCTAGCATGACGTTATGTTTTTGTGCATTAATGGGGGATTAGTAGTCAAGATTAATTAATACAATCAGATTATTGTTTGTTTGTTATAATTCGAATACTCAAATCTGTATATTAAATATTGGGAATTTATTTATTTTTTAATAATTGTCTAGTTATTTTTCACAATTGAAAGTAATCTTGTGATAACATTCTCTTAATTAATTAAGTGTAGCTCGCTTTTTAAGCTAAAATATATATGTATCTGTGTAGTCAGAGATGAATTTGAAGCCTGAGGCAGGTGGTGCAGCATAAGCTCAAAGATCCAGTCAGTGCTCCCCCATGTATAGACAGAAAAACCTGGGCTAATGAAATTGGAAGCATGCATATGCACTGTTTCTCCTATCTGTATGTATCTTTCTTGAGAATGAATTCTGTGCATGTATATATGTCCATGGCATTTGTTGTATTATTATTACTACATATCAACTTGATCATCAATTTTGTGCTCAATGATGCTCCGTATAAGCATTGGACTTTCTGTGTTTTTTTTTTCTTGAGCATGCATTTGTTGTATAAGCATTGGACTTTCTGTGTTTTTTTTTCTTTTTAATTTTGTTAATAACTAGTTTATTGAGGGTAATTATAAAAAAAATTGTTGGAGCATATTATACATATGTCAATATGTGAAAGGTGCATTAGCACTTTCGGCAACTGGGGCAACACCTCCGAAAGTGGCTAATATTATCCTTCCACCGTGTTGTTAATTCATTTTCCTCCTGGTACAGAATGTGTTGCTGTTAATATGGTAGTTTGTCGTTTGAGGGTTTTTTTTCTCCTTCCTTAAAATTATAGGTTACTTCTATTTATTGTTAATATATTACCTTTATTCCTTTTTCTTTTTTTTAACTTGTAAAAGAACTATTTGTTATCGATTTATTCCTTCAATTTTAATTTGTTATTTTTTTATTTAATTCTTATTTTTTTGATTTTTTTTTCTTAGCCTTTTTATAAAAATTTTAATAATTTTCAATTTTATATTTTTAATCCAAGCTTATGATATATTATTTTTTCTAATTTGATCCTTATTTTTTTATTTTTTTTCTTTTATTAAAGTTATTTTTCTTTCAATTTGACCTTTCAATTAAAAATTTGTGGTTGCCTTCAAATTAATTTTTTTGTTTTGATTATTATCTTCATTCTTCTAATAATTACTTTTTTAAAAATTTTTTGTGTTTTTCCTGATTTTATCCTTCATTCTTTGATTTAATAGAAATTAAACTTTATATTTTTTTCAAGTCTAATTATTTCGGTCACGAGTTAAATATATTATCCATCCTAGCAATATTTTCTAAGAAAATATAATAGCCCACACACGTGGGCCCTCTCTTTTTTAAAATCTTTCTTTTAGAATAAGATAAACTTATTTTAACAAGTGTTTTTTAAAATAATTCTTTAATTTATATCTAAATTAATACTCCTTTTCTATTTTTTTTATTTTGTTTATTTAGACTTTTGAAAAGGTGGTTGTTTTGTTTATTATTTTGTATGTATTTAATTTTGAAGAGATTATTTTAATTCATTTATAAGGTTTTTTTTTGTATAAATAAAATTTATGTTAAAAAATAAAAAATATTTATTTTTAGATAATATTTCTAATATTACAACCTTACGTAATATTTTTTTATTTTTATTTTTATTTAATTAATTTTATGTGTATATCTAATTCTATTATCATTTGATTAAATAAAAAAATAATAAATAAAGTCATTAAACACAACTAGGTAAATGATTCATGTTATAAAATCAAATATCTTGATTTATATATATCACTTAATTTTTTAAGTTTTGTCTTTAGTTATTATTAATAAATTTTTTTATATATTAATATATATGATTTGTATAGTTATTGATTTATTTGGTTAAATATATGTGGAAGCTTTTTTTTTTGTTTACATTTACAAAATTATATGAAAGAGAATACAATATAAAATCCTGTATATTTAATTTTAAGAAAAAATCAACCAACAAGGGTTAAAAAACTAGTATTGTTTGTGCCTCGTTTTGTAACCAGAGGAAGAAATAAGCATTTAAGGGAGAGAAAATCTACGATAATCATAAGAAACAAGTGAAGACAAATATAATTGGAACTACTAAACTATTCTGACACGTGCTGGATAGAAGGTCAAAGAAGCCCAGAAGTTACATGAGCCTATTAACAAAGAAAGTGATCGACCTAACTCCATGGGATATCCAAACTACAAGCTCAGAGCTCAATGACCCAACACAAGGAGTCCAATCCATGTTAAAGGGAATTTCGTTTCTTTTCTTTCTTTGCGAACCTGGAAGGATGACACATGGTTATGTTGAATAGTGATGACTAGATCCATGGCTCGAGGGAGGTTTAATTTTTTTTAAACATATAAAAAAAAAGTAAAGGTTTTGCTAACCTGTTTTCTTGGAGGAAAAAAAAGGTAAGAATTTGATGCATATTGGGAAAAAAAAATTAAAATATTGATGTTATATTGAAAAAATTTTATTTTTTATAAATATTGAAATAATAATATATTAGATTGAATTCAATTAATTTTGATTAAAATATAAAATTCAGGATTCGAGTTATAAAACTCTGTCAATCTAGTATTGAAAAAAAATTAAAAAAAAAATTAATTTAAAAAAGAACTAAAAGAATCTTGAATCAACCTAAGTAAATTTATCAAATATATAATATAGATAATGAGAATAGATAATTCTATAAAAATTTTTTTTTAAAAAATACAAAACTTAAATCTCAATCATCCAAATATTAAAAAATAAAATTAAAAAAAATATTTAATTTTTTTAAGACAATCAATTAAAAAAACTAAAAATAATTTGAATTAACTCACCAAACTTAAAATAATAAAGAAGATCCTTGTCAATATGAATTCAACAATACCAAACAAATTCAACAATACCAAACAAAGGCAACTTTAAAGATTAGTGGATGCCACATGCGCCACCAAAGTGTATTGTCCTCCTTAACGAGCCGACAAAGTGTTGTACATGCACATGCACAGATAACTCTTATTTTTTTTTGTTCAAATGAGTTCTTAAATTGTTAAAATATTGATGTTATATTAAAAAAAATTTATTTTTTATAAATATTGAAACAATAATATATTAGATTGAATTCAATTAATTTTGATTAAAATATAAAATTCAGGATTCGAGTTATAAAACTCTGTCAATCTAGTATTGAAAAAAAATTAAAAAAAAAATTAATTTAAAAAAGAACTAAAAGAATCTTGAATCAACCTAAGTAAATTTATCAAATATATAATATAGATCATGAGAACGTGATAACCCCATAAAAAATTTAAAAAAAAAATACAAAACTTAAATCTCAATCATCCAAATATTAAAGAATAAAACTAAAAAAAATATTTAATTTTTTTAAGACAATCAATTAAAAAAACTAAAAATAACTCGAGTTAACTCACCAAACTCAAAATAGTAAAGAAAAGCCTTGCCAATATGAATTCAAGAATACCAAACAAAGGCAACTTTAAAGATCAATGGATGCCACATACGCCACCAAAGTGTATTGTCCTCCTTAACGGGCTGACAAAGTGTTATACATGCACAGATAACTCTTATTTTTTTTGTTCAAATGAGTTCTTAAATTGACAAAGTTTTAAATTCAGCTACTTAGTTTTTTTCTTGATACCACGAGAATCTCATGTGAAATCAACTTAAACAAATCATCACTATTTAATCCCCAATGCTTTGATGTTTAGTATTACTATAATGTTTGCTAAATGAAACCTATAAATATTTTAAAACCTTTCAAATAATATAATTGAAGTTGTTTTTTAAAAATATTTTTTATATGAAAATACATTATAATAATATTTTTTTCATTTTAAAAAATTTATTTTTAACATTAATATATCAAAATAGTATAAAAACACTAAATAATATTAATTTTAAAAAATAATTTTAAAACATAAAAATAAACTTGCTATTAATTTTTTTAATAATAATTAATAATATCACTAATGTATAGGTGTAACCGTGTTTGTTTTCGAAAATATTTTAAATTTTGATTTCATTACAGAAGTGATGGGATCTATTTAATTCTTTGTACATAAAAATGATGTGATATGAGATAACAGTTTCTTATTAAAAAATATGGAATAACTTATGTACTATTTATCTTTTGCAGTAGGATGCATGTCGGGGAAAAAAAGAATTTGAATGCAAAAATTAGAAAATAAAAGGAAATGAAAAAATAAATTTAGATGGAGAAAAAAAAATAATTACATGTTTTCAAAAATCAAGCTACAAAGATCAATTCAAGATAATTTAAATAGTTTTAATATATATATATATATATATATTAAGATAATAATATATTATATTAATCTAAACTTTACAACTTAATCCATCAAATTCGATATTTAAGTTGTAAACTGCAATAGTTTTAATAAATCTTTTTATATTTTTTTTATCTAAATATATGATAGAAAAATATAGAAAAAACAAGAGGTAAAACGATTAAGTTGAAAAAGAAAAGATCAAGATGATATTCTTAAAAAAAATATTTTTGCAGCAATATATTAAATCACATTAGATTAACTTATTAAACTTTTAACCCAGATCATTAAATTGTGAAATCTTGTAAAATGCAACTTGGAATAAATTAGTCCTATGAAAACTAAAATGAAATAAACCATGAAGACCAATTAAAAATAATTAAGAATAATAGAAGGCTTAACCAATTAATTAGCCAACTTTTTCTATTTATATATATAGGAAAATGTATAATATCTAAATAGAAGAGTAAGCCTATCAACCTTTTCTAATTATATACAACCTATATTATGCAAGTTCCTCAAGTTAAGGGTGAAGGGTCAACCCAAAGCTTGAACCGAAAAGTAATAAAAGAAGTTGTAGTAAGTGGCTTAATAAGAATATCGACAAGTTGATCCTTGAAAGAAATAAATTAAATCTAAAATTTCTTATTAGCAACTCTATCATATAAGAAATAATAATCAACCTCAACATGTTTAATACAAGAATGAAAAATAGGATTAGCAGACAAATAAATAACATCCAAATTATCACATCAAATCATAGGTATAGAAGTAGGTGCAATCTACATATCGGACAATAAATATTGAAGCCGTAGAACCTCACGAGTGCCGTTAGCTAAGACTTTATACTTAGCTTTGATAGAAGAATGAGTAATTATGCGTTGTTTGCTTGATTTTCAAGAAATCATGGTATTACCAAAGAAAACAAAATAGTCACTTGTAGACTTATGATTATTAACACTACCAACCCAATCAACATTTGTAAAAATACATAAAGCAAAGGACGAGGTAGTGTTGATAATCGTAAGTCTACATTTAATAGCATCCCAATACATACTCTTAAGATAACATAAAATACATTTAACGGCATCTCAATATGTATCGGTAAGAGCATGCACAAGCTGACAAACCTTGTTAACAGAAAAATAAATTTTT